AAAATTCAGATTAGAAAAGAACCGATCATACAACAAACCCAAACAAAAGAAAGTTAGCAAAAGAAACAAAATAAAACCAAACAAACGTTATCCTCAGAACATCCTACAAGAGGACTCCTCACATGTACCGAGAGTAGGAATATATATTTCAAGATAATGTTTAGATATGCAAACCAAGGGTCCACCACTGCAAAGGGGTCCAATGTCCTACCAAACTCCTCCAGCAAATGCCACAAAAACAGCCAACAAATCTTACCAATTGAACCAGAAGAAAGATACAGGTGGAGTGGAACTTGCGTAGAGAAGAAAGAGGTTAGAAGCCCAGACGAAAGGTTGGAAAGAGCTCGCATGATTTCCGGAGGGAATGAGAAGAAGAAGTGGACAAAGCTCTCAAGCTTTTCCAAGAAGAACCTGCAGGTTATAGCAACTTTGCTCTCAATAATCACCACACCCTCTTCATCTCAAAATATCTCATATATATAGGCAATAAAGGGGAAACTAAACAGCCCCAAAACCTCTTCAAATCCACACATAAATGAGGGAATGAAAGGCCAACAGTCACTATACCGAAATCCCAAACGGCACAGCAAAAGAATTAGGAAAAAGGCCACGGATCCAGGCAGGTACATCACGGAACCCAGCAGCCAAACAGCCACCACAAATTCGGTAAAAGGGGGACCACGGGACATTAATTCAGAAGCAAACTGAGGGGCCAAAACCAGCAAGAAACCACGGCATCCCAAGAGACAGAAGGGAGAGGAAAGGGCAAGTTCCACTCACCTAAATATGCTCAATTCACATTTAATTTCAGAACTAAACATCAGCTTATAATGAGCTACACCTCCACTTGATAATAATAAGCTGACACCACTAGAATTCCAACAACTAAAGCTTAAACAGAAAACAGCCAAGGCCCACTTGAAACCAGCAAACAGTCCAAAGGACAAGGTGGACCCCAAAACCAGCAAACCCAAGGTAAGCATAACCCAAACCTTTTCCTACCATGATCATTGGATTTACCACCATCATTGGATAGCTTAAAAATAAAACAAAAAAATAGAAAATATAACTAATATTGTTCAAAACAAAAATAATGCAAAAATCTAAATGCATCAATACATAACTAGTATTTTCGAGCTACCAAATGAGCTCGTTCACGAACAAACGATCTAATGAGTTATCTCATATTTGTTCATGAACATCTTACACAAACAATTTAGCAGACATTGACAAATGCGAAATGTCTCTTGTTCATAAACAAATTCATTCTATTAAAGGTATAAAATAAAATTAAATTAAATTTATAATAAAAGGAGTAGCCTATTTAAAATGGAATTATGATTAATCTATATGAATATATTTATCGAGGTTATTCACGAGTTCTAAATTGAACATGAATCGAGCTTCTTATCGAGCTTAATGTTGAGCTTGTTCACGAGCTTCAAATGAAGTTATTCGTGAACATAAATGAACCGAACACATTAGTGTTCAACCTTGTTTAATTAAGGATCGAGTAATAAAAATGTTGTTCAAGTTTGTTTGTTTAGTTAGTTAAATAATCACAAATGAGTTTTAATCAAACCGAGCAACGAGTAGCTCGTTGAAAGTTTGATTCGCTTGCAGCCCTATTTATATACAAAATGAGGGGAGCTAGAGAGAGAAAGATAGGATGTAATCTCTCTTATTAGAGAGAAAAAGAAAAGAAAGAATGAGAGGGGATAAGGTGATTTGGTTAGAGTTTTGGTAGGAGTGATGTAAGGAGGTGGTGGTACTTAGGATGATGGGGACATCAGATTTCGACACGTGTACCATCGCCGGAGACGCCGATCGACGGCCATGATTCAGAGTCTTTATTTTTGATGTTTTATTTTATTCATGTCATTTATATTTCATGTTTTACCTTTGGTACCCCTATGAGAGAATTAGTGCTTGTTGTAGCCCAAGGGCAATGTTGTCTTTATGTTTCTTTATTTCCGGATAGCCTATATAAAGGCTTTGTCATTGTATTTTATGAATTATTGATTGAATGAAATTTTCTACTATTGATCTCTTTGTGAGTTCTCCACTTCCCTAGTTCTCTTCGTGAGTTCTTGAGGGGAGTTTCGTGGATCTCTGTGTGAGTTCCGGCATCCCTACAATCCCTTTGAGATCGTGAAGAAGAAGTGTGTGTGATTAGAAATTTCGAAATTCCTCCAAATTTCTCATCCCGTTTCCCAGCTCAAGAATTCCCTCACCAAAATTTTCCTTGCCGTCGGCCCTGTGTTCCGTCCAGAAAATTGGCCGCTGGCCAATTGTTTCCTCCCGCAAACAGCCCCTACCGACCCCCACACTCCCCAATTCCAGCAGCCACCGTGAGCCCCTAGCCCGCCAACCCAGCCGACACCCTGCCGCCGATCTTTTTTTTTTTTTCCTTTGGATCTAAACCTGTTCCGACCCCAAGTAGTGGGATAAAGGCTTGATGTTGTTGTTGTTGTTGTTGTTGGATCTAAACCTGTTGAATTTCAAATCTCCTCAATTAAATCAATTTCCTAATTAGTGTTCATCTATTTAGGAAAGTCATTTAAGGGGATTAATCCACTTTGAAATTCAAATTTCTATTCACTCTTAACAAGTTATTTTTGGCAGTTACTTTAGATACAATCAAATCTGAAATTCTAATTTCAGATTTAATTAGGAAATCAATTATTTAACCGTGGGCCCCAATTTCTAAATTCCTAAGCCTTTCTCTCCTTAATATTTGGCCGGCCACCCTTACCCATTAACTCTCTCTCCAATTACATTAATAGCCACCCATTAATTCCCCTAATCCCTCACTAAACCGCTGGCCCCCCCTTCTCTTCACTTGGAAACTAATTTAATTTTCTAATCAGTGTTCCGTCTCCACGTCTCCATACTAGACTCCAATTCCAGAAAACTGAAATTGTTTTCTCCTGAAGCTTTCTCCCCTACCCAAGCTCCCATCTGGACGTGACTTGTTCTTCTCCAACCAAATCCATCCTCCAACGTCAGCATTCTGATACTATTTCAGATTTGGTAATTTTGCTCTACCCCTTGGCCTCTCCACCTAAGCCGATCACCGTCCCTCTTGGAATTTCTCGGGGCAACCACTCACCTTCACCCCATGTCGCATGGCGAATCCCGAGTTCGAATGGGGGCTTGTGTTCGATGCCCAAGTAACCTCAACGTACTACGATCGCCGTTCTTTGACGCGGGATTTGAATCCGACGAAGACACCGTGGGAGATTACTTGGATCGGATCCTCCCGAGCCTCATCCGAGTCATTGATAGACAACGTCCGGACTACGAGTGGACCATCGACGGACGATTTTTCGCGCCTCCTCCACATCCTACGCCTTCCTCTCCTTCTCTACGGATCGCCGGCATCGTCGCTCTCGGAGTGGTTTCATATCTTGTGTGGTTCTTCTTCTCCCGCAAACCCTAGAAGTAGACAAATGAGCATAGCCTCAAGGTGAGACAATCGCTTTGTTAATCGCCGGATTCTCGTTGGCTTTTCATTTACTTTACTATTTATTGTTGTCGTTATTTTATAGATCTTGCTAATTTAGCGGTAATAACTTGCCTAAGCGTAGTTGAAATCTAATATCTCTTGGAAGCTTCAATTGTGAGAATCATTAAGATTGTATTATCATTATTTTAACAAATTTTATTAATTTTCTAAAATCCAATTCCTTGTATCACATCATAGGGTGAGGCTAGAGAGAGAAATCTCTCCCTCCCCCCAATTTTAGAGATATGAAGAGAGGGAGAAATATTTTTTCTCTCTAGGTAGAGAAAAAAGGAAATGAGAGTGAGAGGGGATGTTTGAGGTGAAGGAGGTGTTTAGAGGGAGAAATGATGGGATTTCTCTCTCTTTTAGAGAAAGAAAATGAAATGGGATAGGGCTTTTTGGTGGAGGAGGTTGTGAGGAAGGTTTTTTGTAAAGGGGTATGGTACTGTGGTGTTTTGAGGGATGTTGAGAGAGAAATAATTATTTAGGGTTAGAGTTAGGGATAAGTTTAGGGAAGAAGAAAAAGAAGGAAGAAGGTGAGTAAGGAGAAGAAGAGGACGAGAAGAAGTGAGGAGGAAATGGAGGAGAAAGGAAGAAGGAGAAGGAAAGGAGGAGGATGAGGAGGAGAATGGGAGGGGTTACCTACGAAGGTGGCGACAGTAGCAAGACGCCGGCAGTGGCGGCAGGGTCGCGTGGAGAGGGAGATCGAGAGGGAGAGAATGGGGTAGTGTGCTTGAGTGAGTGGGTCGGTTGGGAGTGTTATGAGGGAGTGAAGGGTAGTTTAGGATTTAATTTATTTAGATTTATGTAATTTCTTCTTTTTTTTTTTATTTCATCGCGTTCCTTTTAAAATTATTATTTATAATTAATTCATATAATTTTTTTTTAAATTAAGTGTGCCTCAGTGTCGCCGTCAAATCATCGTCTTCGTTCACGCACGCTAATGCCAACTTAATCCACATGCATGAAATTTTAAATTTTGTCGATCTACAACCTCGACCAATATGGGCGTTGATCTTAGCTGTTTCAACTGCCCCAAACACTTCGGCACGGTCTGTTTCACAAATGGAAGTCATTTCGGCGATTTAGGCTTTTTGTAAAAGTGCATCGAGTAAGATTAGCTCGACGTCACACTCTTTTGTTTCAAAATTCACCATGTGCGATCGACTTGACACAGACACTAGTATTGAGGTCAACAGATACAAGCTCAAAGGTAAACATTCAAACACGAGCTCTAATACCAAGTTTGGAAGAAGGCTTTTATTGTTGACTAATATGCAGCAAAAAAAGCACAAAAAAGAACAAAAAATAAAAAGGAAAACATCCTCAATTATAAAAAATATTACAATCGTAAATCACCTTTCTAATTTAGTATTCCTTTTTAATTTAACACTTTCATATGTGAATAGCATGCGTGATTGATCAGTTTGTTTTCCTTGTAATAAGGCCTTTTTAAAGATGTATAGCATGAAAATTAAAATCAAGAATATACCTTGTTCCCCATCACAGAATTTAATGAACCCATAACACAGTTTGTTTCTGCATCATCCAAAACGTTATCATGAAGGCGGCCTGCTACCTATTGCAAAAATTAAAAGACATCAATGAATGAGGGAAACGATATAAAAGTTCTTTGATATGTAAATTAGGAGAAGATTCAAAAGTGGGGGTCAAGAGATAAGAGTGAAGGGTATAATTTCCAACACCCTAATATTAATATTAAACTTTATAATACACAGAAATTAAATGTTTGTTCAGGTAGCCAACATAAATCATCTCAGCTGTCTCCGCAATACATTTATGCCTCGCATCCAGCTCCTTTAAGCAAATAAATACTCCATCAGCTGTCATTTGTGGTAATGGCATAGGCAAAGCCTTTGACATAAGCAGCAAGACCTGCACATATCGAGGATCAGCGACAACACAAACTAAAAATGGAGAATAATAGCAAAAAAAATTCATTGTCTGAATTAAAAAGATGGATGAAGTAATTTTGATGAGGACATCAGAAGATCAACGCCTGCAATCTAGAGTTTATTTTATTTTTGATGTCTTATGTACTAGTTATTAATGTTTTTCCCATTTTACCCTTAGGAGTGATCAAGTGATGTTGTAACCCGAAGGGCATTTTAGTCTTTGCTATTTTTCTTTTCATTATGCCTATTTATAGCCTAGCTTCCTTATATTGATGATGATGATTGATATGAAAAAAATTCAGCTTTTGCTTTTTGATCTCTTTGTGAGTTCTAGAGAGAGTAGTGAAGCCTAGGAGAGGCTCAAACGAAGTACCCAACAGCCTTTGCGGGTGAGCTCTTGGTTTTCCCATATCTTTTCTTCTTCTCTCCCATTTTTCTCCACCCGAGCTTCCTCTTTTCTTTTCCCCTACCCGACGGCCACCATCACCTCCCCTCCTTGTGTCAACCCCACCTCCCAACCTCATCACCACCGCCGGCCCAAAGCTTATTCCCCTCCACCCAAGCCAAATCCCCCTTCCCCCATGCCGCCGGCCCACTCTACAATCCCCATTATGATGATTTCCCTCATCATAGTTGCTTTCCTAAGTTAAGCCAAGCCAAGAGGGAAAGAATTCTAATTATTTGAAATTCAATTTTTGAATTTCAAATACTTTCCTTTTTTTGAAATTCTAAATTAGGAAAGTGATTAAACCTAGATATAATTTGAATTTCAAATTAGATTGGATATCATAATTCATTTCCTAAATCACATAGCTTGTTTCGGAAGCTCATAATTTCCTTCACACGCCGGCCACCCCCTCCACCCCATAGCCGCCGGCCACATATTTCTCTCCCACATTTTGATTTCAAATTTCCCATAAATGCTTTCCTAATGTGGCTCCCCTAATTTAGGAATAGAACTAAATTCAAATTCAAATTTGAATTTCAAACTATTCTTAAATTATCATCCCATAAATTAAGAGAAATCTCCAAATAATTTAAATCTGAAATTAATTTCAGATTTAACTATTCAATCCCCTTAATTACTTGGGTCCACCTCCTTAATACCCAACCCCTCTCCCTTCCTCTCTCCTTGGCCGGCCCCCCAACCTTCCCCTTTTAATTAATTACATCCCATAAATTAAGGATCTAATTAATACAATCCCCTCCCCACTTTCCCTCCCAATTTTCCCAATTATTCAAATTCAGATTTCAAAGGAATAAAGCTTAATTCCCCATTAAATCTGTAATTAAGTTCAGATTTAATCTACCCCTCTCCCTACCCCTCCAAAGGCTTACGTTTCTTCGTTGACTTGCACTTTAGGAAGATTACAACTTGTTGTCTTGCACTTTTGGAGATTACAGTTGCTTCTCAGAAGACCTCCAGCACCCTACAGCTGCTGTCCAGGGAATTTCTGCAAAGATCGTGTGCTGTCCTGCTGTCTGGATACTCCTGCTTGCTGTCCAGAAAGTTCATGGCTGCTGTCTGAATATCTCCGACGAGACGAGCTGCTGTCCTGCTCTCCAGGAACCCCTGTTTGCTGTCCTAAAAAGTCACAGCTGCTGTTCCAAGATTCCAGCAGTTTTCTAGTGTTGATTCGCCATCCGGAAGGCTCTCATTGGTTGCCAAGAAGATCCCACACAGTTGTCCACACGCAGGACTTCTTCAAGTTCAGCCACTGGACTCCGGATCTTCTCCCTCGCCCCTCAAATCAGATCTAATAATTTGACTACGGTGAACTCTTCCCCAAATCTCCTATCTTCCTAGTCGCTCTCAATTATGATTCAGTTGATTCACATAGATAATGTTAATTCTCATCCGCTATAACCTAGTGAATTAGATAATTGAGTGAGTGGATTCTTATAGTAACTAAACTCATTGTTAGTTTAGGGATCATCATTGAAAATCAATCATGTATGCATTGTTAGATTAAATTGACTGTTTTACGATCTTAACTCTTTTGTATGTGATTTAGACTAAGCTTGTTTTGCCGCACGTGTTTTATTTTGTCGTTCAAAATCAATGCAAAGATATAATTATTGTGCTCTAAAAATTAAGCGTGCAAACTCATTAAGAAAGTCATCTTCGCATGTACGTTTCACATCATATTTCTTCATGATTCACAAAAAAGATCGCAGTTTTTTAAATATAAGATGAAAAAAAAAAGAAAAGGAAGTGAGGAACAAGTAACATTAGAAAAAGAGACAAAGTATAACAAAATGTTGTATGTTTCTACAATAGCAAATCAACAAGCCAGCACCTATGCTATTGAACATGGTATAAAGGTTTAGTGAGAGATGTTCTCTTACTGCAGCTCTGAAACTTTTCCCCTGAGCTCCCATTCTGAAAAAGCATTCAGTAGCTAGAGCCAACTTTGGGACCTGAATTAAGTACATCGCAGATGAGATCAAAAAGCCCACAAATGTCCATATTTCATAGACAATATATAATGGATTAGGCTGAAAGATACTAAGAATAGTACCTCAGCAACTACCATCAACCTCAATCTTTTTGCAATGGCTGATAGCTCATCTGAAACAAGTGAAAATGGGTCCAATGGTTCCTGACAGGAACAAAAGTTTGACATGAAATATAAAAGAAGGTAACATAAACACATACTATAGCAGACTGCTCCAGATGTCTACAAATTAATTCAACTTAATAAAGGCAAAGAATTGTTAATGCAATGGAAATTGTCAAAGTTAAACAAATGGAGTTTAATGGTAGAATCATATCCTTCGTAGTTTTTGTATTTGTACAAGTATATTCAATTGCAAATGGCTTTCCATCATTGCAGAAGTACTCGGAAACTAAATGAACCTCACTAAACAGAAATATAATACCATGACCTGGAAATGTTTAATATACAAAGGTTTTGAAAGCAGAATAAAACATCAATAAAAAGGCATAACAGAATGGGATGAAAGGCTTGAAAATTGTAGGAAAATTCTTCCGAACTCTGGTGTAAGTATAACTCTGGTGTAAGTATAATGGAGACAATAGGTGAATTATAACTTCAACAAAGATAACTTTTACTGAAATAAAAAAGACAAGTTACTATTTCGAAGCTCTGTATAACCATAGTAAAGTTCAGATGTAATATGCACTGACAAGACTACCACTCTGGACCCATTCATCTTTATGTTCTGGATGCTTTAACACAAAGATAAATAAAAAAACTTAGAAAAAATGCAACTCTGACCATGTCACAAGCAGAAATGAGTCATTTTGCACATTACCAAACTGAGAGTTTGAAATTGCCAAAGCACAACCCAACCAGACAATTTTGACCGTTCAAGCTATTTTTCCAGTTATCCAAGACAAGCAATAAGATTAAAGAAATTGAAATGGATCGATCATGAAGAAATTAAAAAGAGTACCTCAATTACTGAAGTTCTATCTTCATAAGCCTGATATCTGAAGTCATGAAAGCCATGTGAATGCCAGAAATAAGTTTCTCTGCAACCTAACACTGACTAATCCACAGAAAGAATATTGAATATTTATAATCAAATACATGCATCAACTAAATAAGATTGATAATTGAGTACCAGCATAGCTTGTTTCCTGCAAATGTACCGCAACGGTTAAGCATAATAAACATAATATAGTAGCTACATATTTCATTATAAAAATGTTCAGTTCTGAGTTCTGTAGTAAACAAAACCAAGCTTAAAGACAGGTGAGTTTTCCACGGTCCTCCTCAAAAGAAAGTTTGACTTAGTAGGTTAGTAAGAAGAAAATTATTCTGTTGTTGCAATTGTGGGCTCTGAAAATTTGAGCCCGGCTTTTTTCAGCAAGTTTCTGGTCTGGGTTAAACTTTCAAAAGGCATATTATGTTGAAGATAAAATATTATTCATCATCATTTTACAAGGATTTTATGATCTGATTCTAAATTTCCCATAAGTGCAAACCCCTATTATTAATTACCCTAACAATAGAAGAGAGAACTTTCAAGTAAATATAATCAATATATACTAAAGTACAGAGCATATAGTATCAACTGTTTGCTTTTATGATTAATAAAATTTAAACCATGAGTTTAATGCTAATGTTGGAGGGATGATGGCGAATGAGACCAAGTTACCATGATTTTGTTGACTCAGGATGTCTTAGTTAGCAAAGATATTCAACCCAACATGACTGAAGGATAGTTGTTGGCAGTCATAGATTACTTCATCTAAGGGAATCATATATACCTAAGGTAGACATTTATCTAAGAGGGCAACTTTTAAGTCAATCTTAGCTAATAGAAGAATTTGCATCCTACCAAGTGCACCCTATTATTCACAACTTAATAGGGCTAGGGCCATTGAAGAACATTCAGGCTAGGTCATGAAAGTAATATAATGTTATCATTTTGCAATGAACACCCGAATCAAAGGGCCTTACTTATAATCAATATTTAGTGGCATCAAAATCACTCGATAAGAGGACATGTAATCTTTTGAGAGTGATAATAGCGGTATATCCACAAAATATTGGCTTTTAGTTAGCTGGGGTTATCTTAAATTTGTCACTCTAGACAAACCATTGCCAAGGGTGGGTAATTGGTGCTTCAAACTTGAGGCAATCAATTTTTCTTGAAAATATTTTAAATTTTATAAATATTAGACTTTTATGTTTTTATCAAGGTTCAAGCCACAAAATAATTTAGTTTGGGAATTTGAGGCATTTTGGTGATAGTATTTCTCTCCAATTGAAATTTGTTGTCAACACTGACATCATCAAGGAAAGACTATTTGAATAATTTGTAGATAGAAATGAGAGCTAATTTTTAAAAGTGGACCTCTCCGGTTATGATATACGATGACTACACACATCATAAGATTATTTGAAGGATTGTACTTTGTCATTTTAAATATTGTTGATTATGTCTGCTTGCTAGCATAGGATCAAATTTGTAAGTTTGCGTTGCTCGAGTTCATTTAAGCATTTTTTCTATCATAGATCTTGTCAATTCTACTCCTGTATGTAAAGGATAGAATATGTAATTAGAACTTAAGATTGTTCCATGCAAGTTTGACAATGATAATGTAAATTTTTTAAAATCAATTTTCATTTTAAATGGCATTGAAGCCATATGTAAACAAAATACTTAAAAAATTGATTTAGTGGACTTCACAAACAAGTCAATGGTTCCCTATCTAATGATTAGGTTACTTAGACTGTGATGGGAGAATTTAAAATTTCTCTTTCAATCATGATCATTTCAACTTTGTTGCATGGATATTTGTCACAAGATTTAAATCTAATCAACTCCAACCGTTAAGATGTTGGGGATCAAACTTGAAATGCGGGACATGAGACCCAATCTATAGGCAAAGCAACCCACTCGAGAGCATCGTACAAATGATCAATTTGAATTCGAGTTAAAAAAACTCATAGATTCTTTTTTTTAATATAATTGCACAATTTTTAATACAATTTCACACTTCTTAAGGAGGTTTAAATTTTAATTTCTCTTATTTTTAATCTGCGCATCATTCTCAAACTTCAAGTTTAGGAAATTAGCACATTTGTTCGAGAACTTGTGGACATTTGATTTTTAGCAATTTGATGTGCTTTTTAAGGGACGTACTCATGGCACTTCTGAAAATTTACCGTGACTTTTTCTAGCATTAGAATGCTTATCGAAGAAACTGCAAGCTTCTCATAGTAGTTCATGCTTCTAAAGGTAGAAACATTGTAGTTCAACTTGTTCCCAACTTGTACGACATTCTCCAATATTACATTCAAACATTTAAAATGTTTATCAGAGCACATGTGAATAAGTTTTGGATTTAACGCTCTTGCAGGGTTTCTGATGTACTACTTGATGAATTATATGTTTCTCAATGCATTCGCACATTTCTCAATGAACTCATATGATGCAGTTGTATGCTTGCACAATTTTTTGGGCACTTTTACAGTACACTTGCACGTTTCTCGGTGCACATGCGTGATGCATTTGCATGTTTCTCAGTGATTTGCATTACACACTTGTACATTTTTTTGTGTATTTGCACGGTCCACTTGAACATTTATCGATGCATTTATATGACGCAGTGTCATATTTCTCAATGCACGTGCATAATGTATTTGCATGAATCTTGATGCATTGTATTTGAGTTTAATTTTCTTTATGATGCATGTAAGAGATTCAAAATTATTTAGACTTATTATTTTCATTAATGTGTGTCATTAAAATAAGCACAAAGTTTCTTTAAAAGGCCACAATTTCGCCTACTATCCACTTGCACGTACGCATGCAGATCCAATGGTGTGCGAGTTACAATCCTTGTGTTTTGAGATATGATACTAACGTATTTTATTTATGTAGAATAAATTCTCCTCCTACAAAAACATTTAAAAAAGCAAGCATTAGAACAACATGCACAAGTTACGTAAGCACAAATTTTCCCATCATATTGAAATAATATGTACAGATGCTTAACTTCTGAGATTTTGAAATATAAATATATGAGGGATGATGACAAAGGGCTTGTGACATTATAATAAGGGCAAATACACACTCTCTTTTTCTCCTCTTTTTCTTCTTTTTTATTTTTTATTTTTTTAATTATCCTTTCTTTTCTTTTTTACTCCTTTTTTTTTAGCTTTTTCCTTTTGTTTTATTTAATATATACATAGGGAAATTATATGTGTGCAAGAGGGAGGAAGGAAGAGAGAATGAGCTAGTGGGAGAGAGGAAGAAACAATGAGAGTTAGAGATTTTGAGAATGATAGAAGGAAAGCGAGAGTTAGAGTGACTGAGAGGAAAGATGGCAAAGAGAAAATAGTGATTTGCATAGTTGAGTTTGGCGGCGACTGAGGGCAACTTTAAGGTCGTCAACATTGGAGGTCAGGTTGGTGACTAAGTGAAGCTTGACGGGCTAAGGGGGAGGGAGAGTTATATTGATTGGGGGATTTGTCGATGTTGGGTATCGTGAGAAGGTTGTCGAGTGGAGAGAAAATCGCCAACGATATCGAATGAGCGATGTTTGAATGATTTTGACATTATGATCATGTCTCCATAATTTACTTTGTGAAATGAGCAATGATCGAGCTATTTTGATTTTGATCAAAATATTCATTTAACTTCATGTGATGTTGCATTTGGTGAGCGCTATTGCCATCTATGTGAGGTTCCTCTAGCTTGGCTTAGAGTTTAGACTGAGCTAAGACTGAGCAAAAGAAAATTGATGCATTTTTGTTGTCTCCCTTGGTGTGCGATCATAAGCTATTGTATTTTTAGTATTATTTAAAATATCAACTCTTCACCCTTAGTTGTTTAAAAGTTAATTATTAGTGGCAAAAGTGACATTTTTTTTCTAACTTAGTGCCTAGTCATACCATTTTGTTTTTATCCAGTATATCACATTTATCAAAACTTTTGATTCAATCTAATCCAATTAATTTTAGTCCAAGCCAACCTATAACTCAAATAGCAAATACCAAAAATAAACCAAAACGAAAAAGAATATTTTAGCTTCAGTCAAACAATAATTTAAATTAATGAAACCAATCTTGCAGTGTGCATGAAGATCTCCAAATTTATAAGTTGACTAAATCACAGTCGTTCTTCCAAAGAATATGAAGAAGATGATTATGTGTATTCATATTCTTCTTGAGAGATATCCATCCTTAAGAAATTAAATGCTAAGGCCAACTCAAAATTATTAGAAAACTTGGACCTCATGCATACTATCATGATTTGCAACCTAAAATAATTAGTATAAGTGTTAATATTGAGGATTTTATTTAATTTAGAGGATTTAACTAGCCTCCAAATGATTCAGCTAATCTTTTGGTAGGAGATCTTTCTAACCATTTGCGAGTACCCTCACCATCCAACCTTTTAAAGTGAACTCCGTCATTACAGAAGAGGTATCTACAAACCAAGCTAAATCACAAGTTCTTAATTAGATGGAAGAATAAGCCACCCATTAAGGACACATGGGTCACAAAAAAATTTACTTAGAGACACTAGCACAGTAGCACCACAACTTACTGAAGAATACTTGAATTTCAACTTTGTAGAGCAGAGTTCTAACGTTTGGAGGGGAATTGATGCCAAAAATCAAGTGGTAGAGCATCATAGCTCCATTAGCAGAGCAAGAATTCTGGATGAGATATAGAGCTAAGATGGCTCCATGACAAGAATAAGATCAAACGCCAAGAGAGCTTCGTCACCATACATAAATAATAAAATGCCTTAATATGAAAAGTATTAAAGTTGTAATAATATTTGAAGATTGAAATTAAAATTTTGAATTTTTAAAAATTTAATCTTTAACCATTAATTCTCCCCTATGATGCACCGACACGCCTCTTAAAGAGGGTATGCAGTGTCGGACACGTGTCAGACACGGACACGTGTCGGACACGGCATGGACACGTGTCCGACACGGCATTGGAGTGTCGGAATTTAAAACATTAAAATTTAAATTGGACAAGCGTGTTCGATTATTAAATGATAAAATCGTCCGTTCTATTTAGCCTTTTCCACTAACGAGAAGCCCTATTTTTCCAATCCACGAAAGAAATCTTCTAGGGCGGACCGGGAGAGCTCACAGTCGACGCCAAATGGAGCCCGCTGCCTTCGCCTCCCGTTCCTTCGTCATTTCTGCTCGGCCAAGCAAAGCTCGTCTTTCCCATTCCTTCGTTCTTGCGTTATTTCTACTGTCATTCGAGGCAAAGTTCGCAATCAAGACCAAACAGAGCACCTTCTGCGCGCGAGAGAGCCAAGACCTGTAAGTGGATTTCGTCATTTCTTCTCTTCATTGTTAAAAAACCTAATGTATATGCTCGGTACCGCTCGGTATCGCTAGGTACATGCTCGGTACCGCTCAGTACATGCTCGGTACTGGTAGGCACATGCTCGGTACTGGTAGGCATATGCTCGGTACTGGTAGGCACATGCTCGGTACTGGTAGGCACATGCTCGGTACTGGTAGGTACATGCTCGATACTGGTAGGTACATGCTTGATACTGGTAGGTACATGCTCGGTACTGCTAGGTACATGCTCGGTACTGGTAGGTACATGCTCGGGAGGGTAGGTAGATGGGTTCGAATGCCTTGATGATATGGGATTATTAGAGGTTGCAAATCTTTCTCTAGATGAACCAGAGTTTGAAGCAATGATATTCAATGATGATGATATTGAAGGCCAAAGACCAACATCTGAATCTAATTTTATCATTCCCTCTATTGAGTAGTTAAACCTTTATGTTGTATTAAATGATTTTTTGCTTATATTTTTATATTTGTACTAGACATTTTGTACTAAACATCTTTATGTTATAAGCTAAACAAGTTATCATAAAATTGATTTATTATTGCTTGACATTTTTACTATAATGCCACCTTAATTTTTATATATTATATTAAAAAATTATTATGCTGCGTCCACACCGCACCCGTGTCCTATATTTTTAAAAATTGTCGTGTCCCGTGTCCGTGTCCGTGTCGTGTCCGTGTCGTGTCGTGTCGTGTCCATGTCGGTGCATCATAGATTCTCCCTCAATTGATTAATTTAATGTTTGAGTATGGAAGGATTTTAATTCACTTTTTTCACATGTCCTATTTAATTTTTCTTGTTTGGATGCTATAAGGGCAGACCCTCCCTGACTAGGAGTGGAAATGGAGTGATTCCACTTCAATTCCATATTTGATTTCTTAAATTTGAATTTTTTTTCTTCCTTCCTTAGTTTCTTTGAATTTAAAATATTATAACATGATATAATCATTTAAATATATTTTTAAATGAATGAAAAAGAGCTTTGTTATTTGACAAAAAAGTACATAAATTGTTCTCTTGAGTTGAGGCTTGGTGGTTGACCCATGTGTTGTTGGTGGAAGAACTAATTATCCTCTTATATAATTGTTGATCTCTCTTCCCTCATCTTCTACAACCATATCAACATCTTTCCCTACATCTTTATCACCTCCCATTACCTTTACCTAGCCCCTACAAGCATTAAATAATCCATACCATCATCCATAAGAAATCAATCAAACTAGGTCTTCTAATGACCTATTATTGGTCCTCTCCCTTCCGTCGCCCTCCAAACCCTTGGATTCCCACAAAAAAACACTAAATTTGACCTTCATACATTCATTTAACACTTTCAAGCCTTTCCAACCCTAAATACACCCCAACCCAAGATTTCAAGACTAGTAAAAATCAGCCCAAACTAAGCTCTTTGATTTAGTTATGATCATGCATCCCTTACACTTCCCTAAACCTTTTGAATCTCCACCAAAAATTTCAAACCTCAAGGGCTATTCCAACATATAGTACACCCTTCTAGAGCAAGATAGATCAACCCTTCTAAGGCTAGGTCATCCTTGGCATGGGCGTGATACAGAAGATAGGGATCTAGAATAAGTGAAAGTGCTGTATTGAAACTTGAGATGAAGACATGCAAGAATGAGAGCATTTTGAGCTCCTCAATACTTTCAAAGTAAGAAAAGAGAATTAATGCAAAAAGAAAATGTTGATTTATTACTTTCATCCCCTTGCCCTCCCTAAATAAGGGTATTTATAGAATACAATAATAAATAAACTCATGGCTAACCCCAACTAACTCAAATCAATTAGATTCACAACAACGCCACTATTTATGTTTTGATGGGAATAGTTAATGGAGTTTTGATGAATACAGTTCATCATGCCCATTAGATCAATAAACTTAGGAACATAAATATTTTAACCTTAAAAAAATTGAATTCATTGAAGTTTGCATAGTCATCTGTTTGATAAAGTATGGTTCATCACATTCCTCTTCCAAATTTGTATTTCTTGTTGGAGCACTTGGGACTTCTTAAAACTACAGTTCAACAAGCTCATAAAAACTAAATACTTATAGTTCAGTACATTCATCTTAATATTCATAAAAACTAATTCTTGAAGGGCCATATTGCAAAAATATCTTGAGATTCATTGAGTTCAAGAAATCGACAGGCCCATATAGTTCAGCAAAAACATCCCCTCTTCTGCTATTTCTGCAGCTTGAACCTATTTTGAAAAGGATGAAGTCTTTTAGATCGGAAAAATCAATACACCCAACTTTCGAAATCAACCTAAACCCATTAATGAAACAGTGCCCAGAAACTCAAGATGGTAAAATCGATGAAATCTCAAAAGTTATATAATGTTAGGAGGAACCGTCTCGTTACAAAAAATAAACCAGCTGTAGAAATCAATAACCGGCTCCGAAATAAGAGATTAAAGCAACAGAAAAGCTTTGAAATTCGGCTTCTTCCCGAAAGAATATGTTCAAATGTCAGAGATCTAAACAATAGAGTCAAAACATGCAATGGTGCTACTCAAAAATCTCACCTTTGGGCATGTCATAGCAGGACCTCTACAATAATGCGGCCCAGGGCGTGCTGCACAATAGAATCTCTCTACACTTCGATAATGGAAGGTCGCTCTGGAGCTCAAAATCCTCAGAGTCGTCCTCCCATACATCCTGGAAGGCGATATTCGAATGCCTAAAAAATAATCAAGCGAGTGGCTTTCCTGGAAGAATTAAGATACTTATTGGTCAACTAAGAGGAAGCCACTGCTATGATTTTTTTTCGGAACATTTAGGTCAAATTAAAGTCAACTCATATAAATAATATACATGTCAAATTCAAATTTAAAATTTTTTGATTAATTTGAATTTTTTTATTAGTAGTCAAAGCTCTCAATCAATAGATCATAGTGTCCTATTAAAATCACAAAATTAATATATATATATATATATTTGATAGGGGCCGCGCGGACGCGAACTCCTGCCACAAATTATGACGTCCACTCTATCACTTGGGCAGATGGTAGACCAGAGCCCCTTCAAAGTGCAATGAAGATCTCCAGTGTAGACCACAGGCATTCATGATCACCCGTAAAGATCCCGTCCAGGTAAGTATATATAATTTTTATATGCTTATATAGCACTCAAGTCTATTAATTATATCAAAAATGTCACTAAAATTAACTTATTTAAAGTTTTAAAAACACATTTTATCCACATATTTAGATGTAATTCAAACATTATCTAAAATAAATATAAAAATTTGGATATTGCATATATAAATATATAAAAAATTTGTTATGTGTATATATATCCACTACAAGAAAATCATCTATTATCGGCGAAAAATCATCATTTTCCGGCGAATTTAATGATTTTTCAACGGATTTCATGCGAAAACATTTTTGCCATAAAAAACGAGCGTTGGAAAAATAATTCCAGGGCAAACAATTCGTTAGAAAATTTTTCGGACGGAATTTTTCCGCCGGAATATTATCCGACGGACTTCTCCGCTGGAATAACAAAAAAATTTATACAACAAAGCCAGTAGTAACCCGCGGCATAACCTCCCTCACAAGCAGCCCGACGCTCTGCCCGGCCCGACCGCATATGAGCGCACACCCGTCAGGACCGCTTGTGGTGAGCCATACTTTTTTATTTAATTAAGAATACATTAAAATAAAATATTAAATTTATTATAATTAAGATAAGTTATTTAATTAATAATTGATTAAATAAGCTATTAAGTAAACAATTAATTAAAATAAATTATTAAATTAGTAATTAATTGAATTGATCTATAAAATTATTAATTATTTAAATTATGAAAATATATTATTTTGCGTAAATTATTAAAAGCCGTCGGAAAATCAGCCGGAAAGTTCGCCGGTAACAAATCCGTCGGAAATACGCCGGAAAATCCGTCGGAAAAGCTGCAAAAAAATTTTGTCAGAAATATCTCATTAATATTCGTCGGAAATTCGCTAGAAAATCCGCCGCAAAGCAATCCGCCGGAAAATCTAATGGTAATAGAAAATTTTCCTGTAGTGATACCCCATTTATTTATGGGGGACATAAATACACAAGAAATGATAGAATTAAAAAAAAAAAAAAGATGAAAGAGAAAGAGAACTTTGAGAAGTTATGAGATTTTATTGGACTATTATAAACCACAAAATTAATTTGATTGATTGAATATGTCAGGTTCACCAAGGTCAAGGTATGTTGTTATAGAAAAAGCTGCATTTGAATAATTTAAGTAAACGTTGTAAATATTGTTAATTAAATAAATTAAACTAGTTTGTAGCGTTTTCATTATGTAAAGAACACTTAATGAATCCTAAGGAAATGATTAGTACAAGTTAAATTGTTGATACATTTGGAAATCAATGAACTTATTGATAAACTTTCAGCAAAATTTCTTATCATGGTGATGTTTCTTGTAAGAAGTTGCATCTAATATATTGGAAGAATACTTGTCTTCCAAAATACTATGGTGGTCTTGGTTTATCCAATTTTGAGGCATTATATCATGTATATGGTTGCTTTTTAATATTCAGACTATACAACTCAAATAGACTTCTCTCTTGTTGGTGTAAGGATAAAGATGATTCTCCTTGGAAGCCTCCCTCTCTTGCATCTTCTCCATTTCGGAAATACCTACACCGAGTTGTTGTAAAATCCTCCTCTTTCTCCTATAAAATCAAACCTCACAGCTCTTTCTCAATGATTTGGGATAACTGGTGTAATGGGAAGGGTGGTGGATCTTTTTGGCATTGAGGAAGCTATTTTACTTTTTTCATACCTCCAATTTGGTTATGAATTTCATTGTGAATTGCTCTTGAAATTTACCTTTCCCTTTACATCCTATCATTTACCATCAGATTCAAGCAATTCCAATCTCTACTAATGCTAATGATATGATTCTAAGATCAAGTTTAATGGGTTAGAAACCTCACATTTCAAAGTTTTTTTAGCTTCCTTTTACTATGATTTTCAAAAGGTTGACTGGGTTAATTTTGTTTGGCATAAATTTTGGCTTTAAAATTCTTCTGTTTCATATGGCTTGCTTTTGATGGGGTTTTAAAAACTTGTGATGTGCTATTTAGAAGATGTTTGCAAGTGGAGTTAACATGTTATTATTGTAATACTAGCAATAAGAGTGTGTCACGTTTATTTTTTGAATGTGATTTCTCTTTTGTTGTTCTTACAACCTTCATCCCAACAGCGGTTTGAGTTTATTAAAGGTTGTAATTTTGATCACAAGGTTCATAGAAAGTTCTATTATTGGTTATTTGTTGCTCCATATATTTTTTATGGAAAGAGATGAATGCTAGGAAGTTTGAGCACCATCTTTTTATTAAAAGGTTGTAAGTGGGCTCTCCATGCTAACACAAATAGATGGAAATTTAAGTTTCTAGTGCAAGCTTTGTTATATTAATATTAAGGAAGTTTCTCTGTTGGAGATTTTTTTTTTGAATATTCTCTTGTTGTTGTGACCAATTTTTTTAGATTCTATCACTACTTCCTTTTTTTCCTCCATGGTTGTTTTTATAGATGCCTGGGGTGTTCTTATGTTCCAAAGGCTTAGTTTTTTTTTTTTTTTTTTTTTTTGGGGTTTTTTTTTGAGGGCAATTTCTACAGCTGGCTTTCATTGAAGGCAAATTTTTTGCAACCTGGCTTTTAGGAAGGCAGCCTCAACAACTTTGGGAGATTTTTATCTGATGTGCAATTTTGTTTGGTTTTTAGTTTGCACCTTTTGCTTCCTGAGTCCAGCGCAGTGGGTTTTCCTTATTCCTTTTTTGGCATCATTTGATTTCATTTCACAAAATAGAATTTACAATAATACAATGTATATGTGATCTATATATATCAAAATAATTAAAATTGAATTTCAAAATTTCTCAAAAAACCTGTTTCTCATGATCCTACCTTTATCAACTCTACCTTATAAGACCTTTTTATTTTCTTGAAATATTAGAAGAATATCATAGAATGAGCACCACTTACTCAGTAGACTTTTTTCACAATCATATCACAATATCAATATTCATTTAAATTACTAATAATAATTCATTTAAATATTCAGTTAAACAATAAAGCATAAATTAAGTATTATTAGATAATAACTTCTCAATATTACAAAAAAAAAAGCTTAACTTCAAGATTATTACTTTTTCTTTTACATATGGCCTTCATAGAGATATCAAAGATGTCAAAGAACAATGACCATCAAAATCCTACTTGCACTTAACTTTCTTAATTCATCAAAATTTACATAGGGATTTGAGAGTTATCAAAACCAATTTAAAATATGATTTATACGTAATTCATTGAATTTTCAGAATATGCAATGAATATATCATGATGCCTTCTTATTATTTTACTTCTACTTATAGCTCTCTTTAGCCTCACACACCCTCATATAATAAGTGGGGCTAAAATATAATGACCTCCCACACCCACATTCAACAAGTGTGGCTTCCCGCATCCACACAAGATATATGGGGTCATAATAGAATATACAGGGCCTTTGTATCATTTCTATGCATACACATGTCATGTTTTAGAGGTCAAAATTTCTCCAAGTCATATCATAAATTATGCAAGTTTTATTTTTCAAGAGATTATTATGGCTTTAATGCATGATTATTATGATGCATGAATTATCAAAATTGCTAATATTAAGTCACATTACATGTGTAAAAACCTACCCACTGAACATTCTCCATTTGAATAATAATTTTTGAGGAATATCCATAATAGCATTTTAAGACTCTCAAAGAACTATAATGAAAACCATAATTGTTTTTTTTAGTTCAATACACATAGATATCATCATAGAGAAAACCAACAGATGAAATTTGGACTTCTTACTGTCAAAATATTTAGATTAAGACATACAACAATATATAAAAACTTAAACAATGAAATCATCATAAAATTCAAGAAAAAAAATTGTTTATACACAACTTATTATAAAATTCTTGGATTTGAAATCAAATATAGGTATTTATAAGTCTACCTCGTGCTCTATGAAATCATCAAGTGGCTTGATGAACAAAACTTGAGCTACAACCTCCAATTAACCCTCTCTCTTCTCTTCCTATCTCCTTCTTCCCTCTTCCTTCTCCGACAATGCAGTCTGGGTGAGGGTTTAAAAAGGATTAATAAATTTAATATTAAAAAATATCATTTCACGTCTAACATCATGGTGCTCACCTTCCCAACGCTGCTACACTCAAATAGGATATTATCGATCTTCCAATATCTCTCAAACCCGAGAGTAAAGAGCCACAATGATGCCACTCAGGGTCGTAGTGCTCCCCCAAATATTGTTTTCAAATAGAGAGGACACTATTGCAATGTTGTCTCTCCCAATACTTCTGTGCCATTGGACATTTTTCCTCCTTATGATTTTCTCTACTTCATTTTAATTCTAATTATATTTGATGTAATTTCGACACTACAATACTTATATTTTATGGCTAAGTCAAAATTAAACTATGCAAGGTCAAGTTAGTTACCTGGGTTCTGAAACAATATATGTTACACATACAATCTAATTCACATTAGAATGCATGATCAATTAAGTTTGAAGAGTATCAATTCACCCTTTAATTTAAGCTTCTTAGTTGGATTAATTTAAAAAATAAATCTTACAGTACAACGTACAATGTACTCTGTGAGTAGTTAAAATTTTTAATTAAATTATTTAAGGAAAATATTACTTGGTGTTTTAAATTTAAATTTAAAATTTATCATATGGCATGATACATATATCATATTGTATAATTAGTTCTCATACATTAATTTGAAATTCTCTTATTATGTAATAACCCCCAATTTTCAATTCCTTAAATTTTAGAATTTTGGTCTATAGGAGTGTTGCAACGCCAGGTCCCTGATTTTGAGCTCGTGGATTTTTGGGAAAATAAATGGGTGCAACAACATTAGGGTTTTTGGTGCTGCTGTGTTGGATTTGTAAGTTTGTTTTTTTAATAAAATATATTAAACTATTTACTTAAACCCATCACCTCAACCATTCCTTACCCAATTATCCTTGCTTGGCCAATAGAGAAAGGGGAAAAAAGGAAGAGAGAAAAGAGAGAGAAA